TTTAAACTTTTAATTCTATGGTCAATGATATATTGGTCGGTGTTCATTTCAATGAATGAACTATTTACTTTTTGGTAAACTTTTCTATATATGTCGGTACTTCCAACGGAAGGTCAGATATTTACTTTAGAAGTCATTGTATATTCGAATTTCTACATTATGGCTATATAGTCAACGAAATAGCTTATGCTTTGGTTCATGATCTTTGGTCATTAGAAAAATGTTATGGTAATGTAATACGACAAATAATTAATGGGTTCGAGTTTTTTCACTCTAAACCTGAAAAAGTTAAAAAAGTAACAACTAAGAAAGTAGATAACCAAAATTTACACTATATCAAATTTTCTAACACTAAAGGTGATAGCTCAATAAAAATAAACTGATCTTTCACTAACTTCTTATGCTAAAATAGAAATGCGTACAGGTTTTCGAATCAGGGAATGTCTTAAATTAAGAGATTTATAATGTAGTTTTAATGTGATAAAAAACAAAATAGTAAAAACTCCAATATATATGTACATTTAAAACAACAAAAAGTATTTGATTCTAAAGCGGAATCAATTTTGATTACTTCATTTAAACATGATAAGAGATGGCCGGCCATGTTTCGGATATTAGTTAAGACTTACAACAACAAAAGTATTAGTTAAGACTCCGATCCAAGATCTTCTCGGTTCTTAACAATTTCTGACCATAAACTTGGTAGATATTTTCTTATGTTCCATGGTAGATATTTTTGAAGCTTATTGGTAGATATGAAGATGCACATGACACATGACAATGATGAGAAAAAGTCAAGAATTTGCCTTTCTAATTCTAAGTACTGACGACAAACACAAAACATTTACATCTACTTTCTATGGGGTCTCACTTTCTACTTATGTTTTTACCCACGTCCTTTTCTTTTTCATCGATCCTTGAGCAATTCGTTAGATATTTTCCTCTTTTCTCTCACTCAAATGTAGACACATGTAACCTATAATTGTAGTCTAGTCAAATCTATGTATGATTAAAAATCAGAATATATGCTATCTACCACTGTTAGGAGATAATAGTGAAGATATTAGGTAATTCATAGAGATATCTAACTTGCCTAATTTATCAGCCTAATAAAAAAACTTATATCTACTAACACTGAAATATTTTATTGATACATCCAAGAATTTTGGAGATTAGTTTTTGTTGGAGTTAGGTATGCCTTTAGTAACATTATATATTGTTAGTAACTAAGTGAGAAAGATGACCAAATCATAATCTCATGAGGAAAAAAAGGGAAGAGGATGAAACTCCAAAAATCAAGTGTTTTTGTTATATATAATAATAGCAAGCTGCTGATAAAATATGACCGAGATTATGTTTTCTAGATATAATCGTTTTTTGTAAATTCGTTAATAAGATATTCATCTTCTTTCATATTTAAGTAATTCTGTTTTATTTTGTTTGTTTTTTTTTCACGTGTGAGTGATAGCCAAAACAATATAAATGATATGTTAGGTTGAATGCAATATATTGTAAAAGGTTTTGATAACAAATGTAACGCTCGTGAACCAAAATGTGTATTTTTGGTGTTGCGTCGAGCGACGCAGGGGAGGTGCGTCGAGTGACGCAAATCGTTAATCAGACCGGGAAGTCGGGTTTGATCGCACGGTTTGCGTGTTGGTTAGGGTAACCCTAGGTTT